CCAATTTTTTACTTACAAACTGCAGTACCTAATCAAAACCGTTTTATATTTTATGCGCCGTTTAGCTGTTTAATATACTCTAATATTATTAATGTGAGTAGTTTGTCCTGGGACAGTCGATGAATATGTTCATGTGTACATATTGTAGTATAGTACAGTGCATTATAATAGTTTGATTTATGATGAGAACGTACTTACAGTTCCACATGACTGTTATACGTATCATGTTATGGGTGTCAATAAAAAAAGTAAAAACAAGCGTTGCCCTCAACTGGCATGGCAGTGGCCAACATTAATTTATTTTATGATTCGAAGCTCCGACCGAGTTGTCTCCTTATTCACTTCTCGTGGGTTGCACCTAGTAAAGTCAGGTTCAGGTACCTAATATAATAATATCATGACGTGTGTTCTTGTCTTTTTGATAAATTATTATGTATAATTTCTAAGTTACTACCTGTCTTTGTTTAATTCGACGTCCGTTCACGGTGAATGTATTTTTAAAAACTTGTTTTGTTCCAATTTATTTGGATATACAATGCGTTTTTCAAAATAATAACAAACACGAAAAAATGTTTTACATGTCACGTGCTTGGGACTCTCGGTCTGCAGGCTATGTTAGATATTTAAGTGTGGTAATTGGCAAACTTGAAGACTTTGATTAAGTAGTATATTTTTGACGAATGAAAGGCATTCTTCATGTGTTCGTCCAAAAATAACTACTCGATTAATATGTTATAATATTTATGTATATACATATAAATGTATAATACAATTTAAAGAAAGCACATTTTACTTAAAAATGTCCTTATATGTTTTATACAATCCTATAAATTGTTGTTGCCACTTTAGATCAGTAAAAATAAAACAGAGTTAATCCTTTGATCACAAAGCATTATATACATTGTAAAATGTTGAAGTCTAGTTAAAATAAATTAATCAATAATATTATAACATATTTGATTATTCGAAATATACAAAATAAATCAAAATATATGATGTATCAGGAACAAGCTTTTCACAAAAATGTAATTGGAATTAAAATTAATTAAACGTAAGAGAGTATGTTTTTTACTTGAATATACTTATTGCTTCTGTTTCTGCCTACCGCAATTCGTAATACATCAAGTACAGGCGTAGGTCAGTTGTCAGTATACAGTTTACAGATTTTTTGCCATTTTCTTCATACTGTTTAACTACTTATGACATCATCCTCTTAAATACTTTACTAGTTACGTGTTTTGTTTTCATAACTGCCATCGATTTACTTGGAAATTTTTGTTGATGTAGACAGTATATCCTATAAGAGTCAAAATAATTGTTCATATAATTGATCAATTATCAATGTTTTTCATAATTTTATGGGGTAAACTGTTAGTTCTTCGGTAATAATCTAATATAGGTAAACTAATTTAGCCTAACCTTTTTATAATTGCTATAATAGTCAAGGGACTATGTATCCAGTATAATTTATTTGAATTTATAACAATAAAACTTACATATTTGGATAAGGTGTTGAGTTCTTAACTGTTATAATATATAGGTATAAATGGTAAGAAGCAGTAAATTAACATTGAATAAATTAACGATTTACGATTTGTAGCATTTAGATAACGAAAATTGTTTAGGCCATACGAACAATAATAACAATCTTATATTTCTAATTTTTAATTAATTTTTTTTTTATCTTTAGTTTTTTTTTTTTTAATGCACAATCTATAAAATAGTTTTTACAATAAGTAAAATTGCTGTACAATGAGTGTTAGGTTGATTGTGTGTGGGCGAGAGGCCTTCCATTGAAGGCATATCGGCCAATCGTTTTTAACCTTATTACACGTTTGCTTCAAATATAATAATTAACGACACCAGAAAAAGACAATAGTATATTTATTATTGATTTTAGAGTTGTTCAAATTTGGAGATATTCCATATTGTATGACTGTTATTATTTGTAGTAGAAAAGTATATTGTGTACATTCTATGATTTAACATTCTTAATTTCTAAACAATGTTCAAATTAAACAATCCACAAAGAGAAATACATTAAAAAAGAAACTATTTCAGAGTATATAATACAATAAGTATATGCATAATATAATGATAAGACAACAAATGATTACGTGTTATAGCTACAACACTACCTACATTCTTTTTGAAATTCTTAGCTTTAAAATGCTTATAACATATTATTGTTTATTTCATTACCTACATAATATTATACAGATAACTACAATTATATTATAATACAGCGAAACCTGCCTTATCCGAACCCTTGACAAGACGGAATCCTTTTCTGTGCGGAAATTTATTATGGTCCCGACAGATTTCTATAATTTAACATAGGATTAAACCCTTGATAAAACGGAACCTGTCTAACGTAAAACGGAAAGCTATTTGTTGGTCACGCAAATCATATACACCTCATATACACGGAAAAACGAATCCCGGAAAAAAAAACCAAAATGATAATAATATAATCAGAGAATTAGTATAATTACAAAATATAATAATATACAATCTATTGCTGTGTTGTCAATATTATATAATTAATTATATTATATTTATTTTATCCAATTTTCAAAGCTGAGCAAGTTACGTTACTTTTTGGTGTTACACTTACCCAACTTTACAAGTATCAATTTTATGAGTGATAATATATCGACTATAATATAATAATGGAGATAATAATAATACAAAACACTATGTATGCTATTACATACATTTTAGTTTGATTATAGTTGAAATTGGGGGAATATGAAGATCATATAAAAATACACTATTGATCATTTTGCTCACTGTGAATTTACTGTATTGTGTTATTGTGTCTTGTGTCTTGCAAATTGTTTTTTTTTAAAGTTCTGGATTTAATATTTTAAAATATGGAAATTATTAAATCAAATAAGGGTGCAGATAAGCTTTGTCACAAAGGTTATATGTATACCTTAAAATATGCTGGAAAACAATATTATACATGGAGATGTACAAATTGATGTACAACATTGATTATATTATCATTTTGGTTTTTTTCCCGTGGTTTTTTTCCTTGGTTTTTTTCCGTATAATGGAAAAACACATCGTAAAATGAACAAAAATATTTTTAATACCCACATTTATTTTGCTAATAAACAATTATTAAGGTCAGCGATTAATACGTATCGACAGATAAGTACATTTTATCTTGAATCTACACATCAGTGCTCATTATTGTCACTGTAGTCGTAGTTTACCAGTCGATTCGTATCGTTGTATTTGCTCTCATAATGTCTTCAAAGATTTGTTTAAGTTTAGGCCTATGACATTTTTAATTATTGGCTGGAAAATGTAACAACCTTGTTCGTGCAGAATATTATAACTCTATACTACGGAATTTTCCTTTTTATTCAGTTGCGATGGAAACCTGCCTAAAACGGAAATTTTTATTGGTCCGGTGCAATTCCGCACAAGACATTTTATACTGTAAATAGACATAGGAAAGGTGTGAGCAGACTATTTTTCGCACAGTAGTCGGGTATTTTTAAATATATCAAACTCAATACAAGAAGATGATTCCAAAAACTCATAAAAATAACTCGTCAGTAGTAATATATATAGTGTGTTCTACGAGGACATTGCAGTTGTATTACAGGTGAAACAAAATGAGTTCAAGGGGGAATCTCTCACTCGAATGGACTTTGCGTCGACGGAAAAACAAAAAAACCTGATTTTTTCAGTGCAGAACATACGTCATTTTTAACTAGATATCAAAATATCATTTCAACGAACGTTACAGGTACATATATGACCTTTACATGTCAGTTCTCACCTCAAACACGGTAAATTTAATATTCTAAGACATGCTTTTATGGCTTATTGGATTAACCTGCAGACTAAGTTATATCCGAAGTAATAACATTTATTTCTTCATTTTCTTAAATACTTGCACCTAATCAGTTAAATATTAGAGGCGGAGAGGTAGAAACATAGTCTAGCTGGCTAAGGCGTTGGTTTTGAAGTTTAATTTAGGGCTTATACTTTATGATAATGTAGGTGGATAATATATATGGTACCAAGTAATCATTTCTGGGACCTAAGTTAGATAGACTGTCTAATGTGTAGACATTTTTTGGACATTTTTCAGACGTAGTGTTTAAAAAAAATTAGAGAAAAATGACAAATATGGTGAGCATATACTTTCGATTTGACGAGGAAACGGATAGGACACATTCCAGACCGCGTCACCGTCTACGCGTTCGGGTAGGCAACCGCTTACCGCGGTTCGGTGCGTTGTGTTGCTCGACGACCACGGCACACTTGGACGCAGACAGGCAAAACCGACGTGGGCAATACACGCGTGGCCGTTGCTCGTACCGGTGTCTACAGGGGCATTAAGTATTATTATATAGCTGTAAACGACAATAAACGACAATAAACTTTAATAATATCATAATAGACTATAATAGGTAGTACCTATATTACAGTTAGTCGTGGTCGTATAATAATAAATAATAATAATGATTACCTATATAATTTCGGTTACCTGCGTGCCCCTCGCCGTAGCCGCAAGAAGTAACGTTACTGTTATTTTGCCGGCGGGCCGCCCGCCCGCGGCGCGACGAAATCTTCGGCTCGGGCCGAGCGCGAGTCGAAAAAAAAGCGCTCATACCCGCGCACTCGGCACAAGCTCTATCAGCTGTACAAATATATAACACAGCGACACCTGGGTGGGCCCGCTATAGGTGTTAGAATGTCGTAATTATAATGTTATTTCCGCGATAATGATCGAACTCGCACGTGGTTCGTCGAACCGCAGGTAGGCATACGTCGCACGTCGTAATTTGTTATTACAATATTGGGCATAATATACTGTTATTATCGTGTCGGGATGTGAGTGCCTATATATGTAAATGTTGCACTACAATCGCGGGGAACTATTAACCCGTGATAAGAGCCCGAGCCCGTTCTGACACGCGATTCGTCCGTCGGACGATTGTTGTTACCCATCATAGTGTTACAATAATATAACGTTTTATCCGCAGTCGCAGTCCATATTATTGTACGGCGACAATTACAATAATAACAACAATAACAATACAATTATCGCCGTCGTATATTGAAACACGAATTCGTATTGTTTCCATAAAATTTTCGCGTTCGTCCGGGACCTTGCCGTCCGTCCTCTGTGGCCGACTGTAGCCTAACCTATACCTACGTCGCGTCGTTTCGTGCCCCGGCGGTCGTCCGCTAAAATGTCTGTCATCGACGAGACCGCGCCTCCCGCCGAGTCCACCGCGGACGTCGACCGAGAAGACGGTTCCGGCGGTAATTCCGATCGGCGACGGCGACAACAGCACCACGGATCGGCCACGTCAGTCGGCGCCGGGGGAGTGACGTTCGACGACTTGGAACGTCGCGGATCGCGGACGCCGCCAGACACGGACGCCGCCGTATCCATCGTCGTCGACGGTGCCACTGATCGGACGCCACTGCTGAATCGGAGGGTAGCGTACCGCGACGAAGACGGAAGCTGCAACGACCGCGGCGCGGACAGAGTCGTCTTCGAAGGGCAAGTAAATCTCTTCCGGTCTCTTTAATACATGCACATATGATAATGGCCTATCGATTTTTCGCCAAAACGACCTTATATCGACTGATGGCGAATACTGAAGTGCATCAAGCGGTCCGATTCGAAAAATGTAAACATTTCAAGTCGACCTGGCATCGGTCGGAGCATATTATATTGAATATTTTTGAAAATTTTCAATGTATTTATTTTAAAAAGTATTAAACTGTTAAACGTTTATTTCCGTCGAGAATTCGGTAAAATCTAAAAAGTGCTCAGACCGGTGCAAAAATAATCTTGTTTATGCCTTCAAAAGTTTCTACTTTTTGTAAATCATCGGACCTTTGAAAGCACTTACGTTTTCTTCAGCTTTTTACGTCGATAAATTGACTTTGAATATTTCGATCTACCTAGTGACTAAACAACACGTGCATGTGGGGGCGTAGTAATACGTATGATGCAGTTGATCGGTGGGGAGCATACACACACTAATGATCATTTATACTACACACATGCGCAGACGAGCAGTGCCCGTAAGCAGTGAGACACGTTTGCAGGATTCTCGTTGTCTTACAGACCCTCAAAAAATCACCAATTCCTCTTTTGCCCCGACAGGCAATCGCGAACATTTCGACCGAGTCTGTAATGTTTACCAAATCGAAAGTTGCGGACACCGCTGACGATTTTATTATATTATATACGTGCATTATGCACGTTGCACATACATCTGCATCCTCTTGCAGTTGCCTGCAGCACGTTCGCTTGTTTCGAGTTGATACCGAATAACAATACGGAATCCCATTTTCGGTTTGTATTTCAACGCCAAAGTCACCGCTGCCACTTATTTATAAATAAGCAACGGATTTGATCACTGCTGGCTAGGTATTTATATATAGTGGTACATAAATAATTATACGCGTGACGTCGCACTTCGTGTTGTGCTATATTGGTTACCTATCTGAAGTCACCGTAGCAGACATTTGATAGCTGCTATTATAGCACGACACTATTTTGGTGACAATGTTGAGAACGATTTTTTAATTTATTTTTCATAGCATATTGTTAAAGAGACCATTATAATTCCTGTGTGATATAAGAAACAATAAATGTGTATACAAATTGTATAATATTATCTAACCGTTAGGAAAAAAAATGTTAGCATATAAATTATTACACGAATATGAATAAATTGATCATTTAATTGACACGTGGCCACGTGGGTATAAATATATAGGTAATACTATAGGTAGGGTAACCCTAGGAAAACTCATATACCTACTTAGAGTTAGCATTTTTAACGGGAAACGAAGTGCATGGATTCATCTAGTAACTCTGTAAAATCGAAATTTTCTTATGCCTATAAATAGCTCAAACAATTTTCAAAAATTGAATGGTGTGTAGAAAATGCCAAAATGGTATTGTAAACATCCGGTGAAAATTTAAATTATTTGCGATTGTTGGTCTTTTTGTTCAACCAAAAAAACTAAATTGATTTTATTAAAAACTTTATTTGAGCGAAAATCATCGTTTTTATTTAATTTTTTTTTTGTTTTTTCCGACTCTTTCATTCATTTGTTTAATGTAAAAATTAAATTTTAACCAACCAAATGCTTAATTGTTATATAGGTATGAACATCATGTGATTATAGAATATTATACTAATATAATATACATATATAAGGTGTAACTCCGGGTATAATAGAAAGGCCTAACAAATAAAAATAAAAATTGATGCTATACTAAACGTTCGATTACAATTTAATATGAAAACTATATGGATAAAAAATATACTTATGTCAGGAAATGTCCAAAGAAGAAGAGTGTTTGTTTTTCATAGGCTCAAGTGAATTGACATGTAAATATGAACATTTTTGAGTTGCCGGCTTGTGGCACTCTACATGTACTATTGCACTAATGCAGTATACCTTAACTTATAAAGTTTTAACAAGCGAAGTAGTAGACTTCCATATTGCGAGATAATAGAACCCCATGATGTGCCATTAGACACCGCATCATTCAATATCCACTCATTTAAATTTTGAACAATTATATAGCTACCTACTTGTTCGAAATTTGATTTTTGTCATTTTAAGTACCAGAATCCTTAGAAAAATATTCTTTACACAAATAATCTTTAGGGAGTTAAAAATGCATGCTGTCATTAGTGTTATCTAAAAACGTATATGAAGATACAAACAATGGATTTCTACAGTATCTATATACCTATAAGTAGTAAGTACTATACGTATATATAATTTTAAAAAGCTTTTATGACATCCCTCTACAGCTCTACTGACTCTGCTATTATATTATTTTTTATGAGTATAACTTTAAGTAAAATACTACAGTATACTTCAAACCATATAAATATATAATGTTATAGTTTTAGATAAATAATTATTATCTTTTATAAGAAAATTCTGTGTAACTAAAAATACATTTTATCATGTCATTGTTATTTTATTTTAAAAAAATATCAAAGTATACACGTAACTAGGTATTTTATTTTTATAATTTTTGACATACCTCACATTCAATTTATTTTTTATACATAGTTATTTAATTAGTATTAAAAGTATAAAACGCTTAAGTATTTTATGGACATTGCTTCATTAAATCATGAAAAATCAGTTTTTTCACAATTTTAAAATTATCCATAGGGGCAAATTAATATATTTTTATCTGATTTATGAGTTATAATTTTAACATATAGCAATATAATATTATGCTGTCATAATAATACTATGTACACCGTAGGTACTTATATTATTTGCTTAGATCACGTTTTTTTAATCGAAAAAAGCTTGTTAGCTATTGTTTTGTTTATTAAATACTGTTAGGTATTTTATGTTTGAAATAACCGTAGATAATATATTACATCAATAACTGTAATAAGTTCAAAGAGTACTCTTACAATACAAATGTAAAATCTTATAACTTGCATCAATTACTTGTTGAATGTTTTTTTTTTTTGCGTACTGGATCATTTTTTAAACTTTAATAAATAATAATGTTTGCACACAAATCGTTAAATTATTATTGCCCATATAAAATGTGTAATTTTAATTTACTGGTTTGCTATGTATTATATTTTACACAATCGATTTTTATAATTGAGCTGAAACTTCTAAACTTTATTCAGATGTAAGTAGGTTTCTTTTTTCTAAAATCTTAGAAAATAATGTGTATATTTTTATTTTTGAAACACTTTATTTCTCAGACAAGGATTTATTAGTTATTGTAACTTGTAACCATATTATAATATTACGTGTAGCCAAACATAGGCATTACCTACATATTATGCTAAGTAGTAAGTGGTATGAAAATCATTTGTATTGACCATTTTTTGTTTGTTAAAAGTTATAAGTACATAATCAATCAATTTCAATAATTTAATGGTGTATTGGTGCATACCATTATGTAAATACGATAAGTATACATAATGAGAATAAAATAAATAAACAGATATACCCAACTATTGCATACTACGATATACGTATTATAGATGTTCGATGGCAATGAACTTTTAGTATGTTTCCATTGAATATTATAAAATAATACATTTTGTAACGAATCATAATACAACAATAATATCCATTTACGAATCATAATATAGATAAATCTTTACTGTCTTCAAGACCGGTTTGTATATTGTATATACTCGATACGATTCGTGTTTGAAATATTATTTATTAAATGCTTTATTATTACCGTTTATTTATTCCGTATAGAAGATAGGTACAAAATAAATTGGGGTGGGGGGCGTTGACACAAATCTCCACAATGTAGAGTTGTATATTGCGCATATTATATTTATTTTAATATTATGTATAAAATATGTATAATGTGACGTACTAATATGCATTATAGGTACATAATAATATTATGTTGTACAGATATACGTGGCGTCGTTCTGAGAGGTTCGGAAGAAACGTCGTGTTTGTACTATAATCGGTTCCAACATTTACCTATAGTACATTTCAAAATTAGTTCATTTTTACATGATTTATTCTATTTTAAATTGTTGTTCTTATAAACAATTTGACTCAATCACCGATGATGATTTTCCAAAATGTTTTTTGTTCAATAATTATCTCCAACCCAAGTATAATATAGTTTTCTATTCGTAATCTGTATAGTTTTTGATTGGTGTTCAATGTTATCATTCAATTTAATATTATGGTTGAGTACATTGTAATACTGTGTGTATATGTATATATATGTATTATTTTATATTTTAGTTGCTATCTACAGTTTATTCACTGTATAGGTACACGTTATAAATTATATTATGTGAATTTGATTACCTTTTTTTTTCATAAAAAAACTGCGATATTTATAATCTGTGTACCGCACAATACGCGTACATTTTATCATAAAATATTTTTTTCTTTTGAAATATTTTCAAGATTTATTAGAAGAAAAACTTATCCAGTGGTGGAATCACTATATGATACGTAGTTAGGTCTTCTGGATAAATTATAGTGTTGGAATTTTTCGTTGAAATCGTTTTTTTTTTCGTAGTGATTCCCATTAAATGCAATGTTCTTCGTTCTAACACAAAAAATAATACACGACTATTATACAAATTCAAACCTTAAATCTTAGTACAATAAAATTGAATTCATTGTGTACCTATATAGTAGGTAGTTGTTTATAGTAGTAAGTGAACAATGGTGGTAGTGCACTTTTATGTTGATTTTATATGTAAGATAATATAATTTTATGAGCAAAATTCTACATTACGATATTTGTTAGGTACTTTATTTTATATCAGGAATCTCGAGAAAAGAATTTATTGTAAGCTGGGTTTGTCATGGAGAGGAATATTATTATAATATACGAGTTGTAATTCATAACTTTGTTGTGAAATGTAATAGGTGCTTGAAAATATACCTACCTACGTGGTCAAAATATGTCCAGAATAATTTATTACCGTATATAACCATGAATTCGTATAGGTACGTATTTTAGAATTTATATTACTTAAATATTTACGTTGC